GGAGGCATGGATTGGGGCAGGTGGGAGTGGGGGGGGGCAAATGGCTATGAATCAATTCACCGGGGCATACCTTCTCAAATGCTTCGTGGACATGAACCAAGCGAAAATAGATGCCCTCCAAAGGTCCCCGCTGAAAACTCATACCTAAGTGTGTTCGAACAGGAAGTTGGGCTGTTCAAAGCAATTCCTTCATTCCCCTGGGGCAAGACGAGTGTGTGTGTGTGTGCTTGGAGTGTGTGCTTGGAGTGTGTGCTTGGAGTGTGTGCTTGGAGTGTGTGCTTGGAGTGTGTGCTTGGAGTTTGGCAAATGGCAAGAGGGACTATGAACTAGGATTGGGCAACCCTCCAGGTTTTGCAGCCCAGTTGAGCTTGAAGGGAATCACGCAAATGAGTTCGTTTAAAGGAACCCCGTTCCCGGCTAATCAAAGACTCGCGAGTGCTTTTTGGTGGTTACGAAGGGCAAGCCTGAAATTCACGCAGGTTTGCGGTTCACTTCTGCTGCATTGCCTGGCAGAAAAGGGGCTTTGACTGTGCCGCAAGTGACGGTCAATTTCTAGAATCGGCTGCGTTTCTGATCACCGTTGGCCCTCCCAGAGCTGCTGATTGAGCAAGGCTTATTGTTGGGCGCCTGGTTGCCATCTCTGATTGTCCCTAGCCTTGTGGCCTGAACATAAGATGTTTGTTGGCCGAACGGGGCCCGGAGGATGTGGCATCAGGCCAGGCCCCCCCCCCCCGGTCTCGCTGCAGCTGCATCACCTTTCGAAAGGAAACTCTATGATTCCCAGCGGCTAAAGGAAACACGCCATTCCCTGCAAATTCGAACAGGGGTCCTTGCTCAAAAAAAGAGATGCCTCCAGGAGGGGCAAGTCTTGTGGGTGTGTCGGGCTGAAGCGAAGCTTTGGCACGGCCAGTTCTTACAAGTAAGCCTTCTGGGTAAAGAGGAGATTGGAGGGAGTGAGTCCTTTTAAAGGGCCCTTTGCCGGCTAAGGTCATGGCCCGGCTTCCAGGACCGCACCCGGCAGCTCTACGACCGGACCATGCCGCGGCTCGTCTTGCTGGCCGTAGATTGGAATGTGGTTGGGTACCAAAAAGGCAAAGTCATGCTCTCCCATGCTCCGCCCAACAAACTTGCGTTTGTCTTGTTGGTTTGCCCAAGCATGGTGAGCGAAGCCGTGCCCAGAAAGCAAGAGCCTTGCGTGCGTGCTTCGCTTACGTGCCACCCAGGGAACAAGTACATTTCTTCCCCCCCCCCCCCAAACATACAGCTTTTTAAACAAGTCAATCAAATGCATCCCATTGATACTTTGCCTTCCCCAGGCGCCAGTGGGGTGACCATGGTTCAAGGGTGAGCAAGCCCTTCGTCGCAAAGTCGCTTGCATCTTCTTGTTGCAGCTGAGGAAACGGTATTCCATCAGCAACCAGAGGCCTTTTGGGTGGACACGGGGCCAGGGTCGTCGGGCTGCAGTCCCCGGTGAGGTGTTCTATGGGGCACACGTGCATGCATGGGCTGGTGCCTGCGCCTTCGACAGGTGAACAGGATGACGGGATGTGGGTTTCTTCTCATTCCAACACGTATCTTGGGGGATGTCGGGTCTTCAAGGGTGTTGGCGCTGAGCACATGGTGCGTCAGAGGAGGCCGGATTGCAGAGGACAGATCATGTCATGGTGCAGAACCGCGGCTGTTCATCGGGCCGTGCGTAGCTGTTTCTAACCCGCATGCTTGGGATTGAAAGACCTGCCCATCATCTCCCTTGGCAATTCCTGAAAGTTTGGTGAACCAAGAGGATCGAGCCAGAAGAACATGACCGGCAACTCCACCTCCGCACCAGAGAGGGTGGGCTTGGGGGCGGGCGGGGAAGGCGCGGGAACAGGGCGTGAGATGGCAGGTACGCCAATGAGCAAGAGAAGCTCACCGAAAAGATGGCCACGAAGTCGCAGTGGCTGGCGCGGCGGGGCGTGGCTCGGCAAAAGACGGAGGGCGTAGCGTCTGCATTGGGCGTGGGCTTTTTCTCTGCCTGGGGCATTGCAAAACCAGCAGTGGGCTTTGGTTTTGAGCCATGTCGATAGGAAACTGACATGCCACCCACCGACATGTTCGTTGACGTGGCGCCTACTGGCAGCTAAGAGGCGCCCAGATAAGACTCCGTTTGCATTTCTCTTCAAATGCCATTCTCAGCAGGGACATTGGGACAACACCCCCTACTAGGCCCTACTTTCCCCGCAGAAAAGTTCTCACACCCCTTCCAAGAAGGTTCTAAGACCCTGTTGCTGGAGGGTTGGCGAAAGGAGACGGCATCCCACAGCTCCTCGTGCCCGAACTTGAGCCTCACTGCCCCGGAGCAGTCGCTGGCGCACGCCATGCGCTCGGATGCTCGCAAGGAGGCCGGGAAGCGGCTTTTGTTCTCGGGAGCCGCTGGGGCAACACCCTCCAAACCTCCAAACAAAAGCACCAAGTAGGGACAAGCAGATCCGCTTCCCTGGAGATTAACATGGAATGCCCATTTGTAGAGGCAGCTGCTTTTGGAGGCACCCCGTCTTTGGGGGTTCCATGTCATTTCGCCGACACAAAATCAAGGGGCCGAAATGCAGCGTCCCCGCTGATCTGCGAGGCCTCGCAGCGGCAGACAGAGAGCCGCTCGCTTGGCGTTTGCGGCGGCGGGGGCGCCGGGGAAGGGCGGGTGGCTTGCGTCCGCGCATCGTTTCGTTTCAACATGGGTGTCGCCTTTTTGCGCCTTTTGGCCGGCACTAAAAAGCACCACAATCTGGAGCGGGAATTCCAACCCGACGGCCATCTCTGGAGATCCAAGAGCGTGGGTTGCTCCCAGAGAGTTCCAACGAGCGTCACCTTGACCATGCTCATGCTAGTCTACCACGAGAAGTCATGGTAGACTAGTCTGCGGATAGTCTTTGCCAGGTTTTTGAAGAACGGCATAACCGTGCCGATAGAGTTGATGCCGAGGCGCGCATTTTGCGCCGTGGATGGCTTACAACACCTTCACGGAATCCATCAACGCGCAGCCCGCAGGACTGCCTGGCAAATTGGATGCAGGGCTTGGCAGCTCGTAAGAAGGAGTTCGGAGTTTTAGATGAAACCGATTGTCCAGCACAGGTCTGTAAGGCAGCACTGTGTGTTGGCAAAGTTTTGCGAGGCATGTTGTTTCCTTACGTTTGCAGGTGCGCTGTTGGGAGAACATTTTGTTTTTCAGGCGGAGGACTCCCTCAAAGCAACGCTGGCAGCCTGGGACATCTTGCGACAGAAAGCAGATGAAGTCCTTCACTACTGGGTTTGCTCAGTTGGGTGACTTCAAGCCTTGGCAGGAAACACACCCACAAATCCATCGGCCACACCCGCTATCTTGGAACGTGTTGTGCATGGGTGACAAAACACATGTTGCTTCTCCCAGAACATGGCTTATAGGTATGGCGCTGTTCATGCTTGTCACACTCCCATCAGCATGCAAGCGTGGAGGCTCTACTGGAAGACGACACTCCCACTTCCTCCGTTGGTGGGAGAGCTGTCCTCGCTCCGTGCTTGATTCTTTCAGTGCCTCGCCCTGTGCCCCCGGCCCCTTCAGGACGGGCACATGCGGCCGCGCAGAGGAATCTGTCGGTGAACCGCCTGGAGAACTACGACTTCGCACCTCGCCAGGGTTTGGCTTGGCTTCAGGGTGCCAGGGCCAGCGCGGTCCTGCGTCACGAGGGTCCAAAAAAGACACAAAGAACCTTACCTGCCCGCTCCGCAGCTGGCTGGCCCCCAGGCACCCAGGCATTCAGCACCGTGCGCCCCGGCGATCAAAGAGCTGAGGGAGTCATCAAGCAGAACAACCACTACTCCTGCGCAGACAAGCTCACGCGGGCAGATCCCTTCTACATGCGGCCGCGGGTAGGCGGGGTCACATTTGCTCTGGCCACAGTTGTTTGTTTCTTGTGATCGGGATGGCAAGGCCCTTTCGCACCCTTCAATCTTGTATTCAAGACCTGGAGGATCAAAAGTTTGAAAGCGGAATGTGCATCTGTTGCTGGAAGAACGCAGGCGACACCCAGAACTCGGTGAAGTACGACATCATCAGCAACGAGCGGCGGCTTGCCTTTTCAGCGTGCAAGTGTTGTGCTGCGATTGCATCTGTTGGCACGTAGATGCTCTTTGGCCATTGGCCGGATTGGAACACTGGTAACTTGTAAATCTTTCCACAAACCAGCCAAACTTGCACTTGGGCAGGGGCAACCAGCTAGCCACTTGCGCTTGAGGCGCTGGTTCAAGTACTAGTCAACCTTGAGCCCCATGCAGATGCATGCGGGCAGACGAGCTTTCAGCCCAGTCTCACCCAGTCTCACCCTCGGGCGCAGCCACTGGAAAGGGACGTGCTTCATGGCGACAGCCTTAACATTTTCAATTCAGAATGCCAACCAGGGCAAGTTCCATGAAAACCTAGTCGCAATACAAATTTGCAGCATGCTTGTTTCTTGGGTGTTTAAGGAGTGGATGGATGGGGCGTGATGGAACAGAGAGGGCGAGCCACTGAGAGTTGAGGAGTTCATTGGATCGAGCGCTCCCGTCTCCTTTGCGTGGCTGTCTGATGTGCATCTAGCTTTGCTGCCCAAAGGGCAGTGCCATCCGTGGTCATGTGCGTCGTGGTCATGTGCACAAAGTGAGAAAAATGCCATCACCAGAGCCAGCTACGCGAGCAGCATGGCAGGATTTGTTTTGCCAGAATGGCTGTTGGGTCCATGTTTTCTGGGAACTCTGCGCTCATGGGGCAGCGATTTTGTGAAGGGCAGGTGATTCCCCTTGCCAGCGTGCAGAGGTCCTTATCTTCTATTTGGTGAGGATCGAATGGTGTAAAGTTTGGAGACAGCCATCTTGTGCCATTTGCATGTTGGCAAGAGGGCTTTGCGCTGTTTTTTGTGTTGCTAGGGGAACCCCACCTGAAGCATCGGGACAGTCCCGTTTGGTATCATGGACGGGACCAATTTTCCCACAGCCATTGATTTGCTTCGCAGGTGGGCCCCTTCCCGGTGCCATACCGCGATGACTTCGAGAGGCGCCCCGTGGGTTTTCAACGCGCGGACGAAATGAATTGGGGATCAACTGATGCAGATGGGTGCTGTATCCATCGACCATCATCAACCCTCCCTCTCACCAACATGAACATGTCGGACCCTCGTCAGCTTGGATGTTTGGGAGGGAAAGCGCAACACTTGGGGACGATCGGACCATGGCAAGTCGTTGGGTAAGGAAGGCAAGGACCTTCCTGCAAGTTTCGGTAGTTTGTGGTGGTTTGCCTGCATATTTGGGAGATCCACCGGCAGACTACTTCGCAGCTTGTGACCTGAGTTCCGGACTTTTTGGGAAGGTTTTTCAGTGGTATCAGGGAAATGGCTGCAATTCCCACAGCTTGCTTCCTGTTTGTGAGCATTCGCCCCGACGAGGTACGAAGAAGACGAGCCTCGGAGTTTGTTGGCCCGACAGCCCATGACTCCTCCGAGGCTATTTTTTGCAGCCTTGCAAAACATTTGTCCCATTTGCACGAAAGATCGCAGTTTGGACAAGTTTCGGGGCGAGTTTCCTCTTGGTGTGATGTTTGGGTCCAACGCAGGGAGGCCCTGCTTGGACAAAGCTGTTCTTGCACGGTATATAAGGTACATCATGGCAAACGACTGGCGAACCACCCGGGCCTCCTTTTGTCCAGCCAAAGTCCGAAAGTCTCCCATGCTCGGATCAGCCACGCAGATGTCTGGCCCGACACGGGCACAAAGAGGTCGCCAAAAAGACTAAAGGAACGGAACGCCGCCTGGATGGGGCTGCACGCCCTGACTTGAAATGGAGAAGCACCCAAACAGGCGATACTGGATTCGCCCTGCGTGGGGGGGTTGCTAGGACGAGGGCTGCTTTATTTTTGCGGCGAAGAGGGCCAACATCACAGGGTTGCTGTGCTTGCAGCACAAATCCGGCCCAGGTACCAGCTGAGTTAGAGGATCCTTTGCAAAGCAGGCGGTTGTTGGGCGTGTCCTTGAAGGAACCCACGAAGAACAAGCTCGAGCATAGCTTAGGACACGCCGGGCTACTTCGCCGACTACGGCGGGTCGTTTCAAGTTTCTCATGCCACTTGGCTCAAGCCTTGGGTTGAAAAGCGACCTCCAGTTCAGCAACCGCGGCATGCACTTTGTTGGGTGCGTTCCCAAGAAAAAGTGGTCAAGCAGCAAGGGTCCGCGAAAAGCGGACACGTGAGACTCAGTGAGACGGGTTGTTTTCTCTATGCGCAACCTGGCTGACAGTCGCTGGAAGACTCCTTTGACGTTCTTAGGGTCCTCAGTTTGCGTTTCTGTGGTTAGACTTCCTGGAAAGGGTTGAATAAATCCCTGTATCAACAAGATCGTGTGCCATTGAGGAAATCCATCACTTTTGGGGGAACACCCGCTGCAAGGATTTCTTTTGTTAAGTTCGGATGAATCCGGGATCCGAGCTAGTCAGGGGGCGGGGTTCGACATATCCATATGTTATCATATGTTGGGTGTTTCTTCCGCGTGCAGTTCTGCGGACTGCGAAGTTGGTGTTCAGCTTCTTGCGACCCCAGCGGCCTTTGGGTTTGGGAGCGAGGACCCGGCATACTTCCCCAACATGGTGCTGAAGCAGTGGATCATGGAGAAGGCGCGCCAAACTCACCCCGAATGGGCCAGCAACCTTTGCTTTTCTCGGTTGATTTTGGGTGAAATGGGTGACCGGGTGTGCCCCATTTACGAGGCAATGCACCTGGTTGATGGATCCGGTCGACATTAGATATTGGGTGACCCTTGATTCCTTTGTTCCTGCTCGGGTCACATTATGCCTGTTTCTGGCACTTATGAAAGTCAACAACTTGGGGCTGGCTTAAATGATGGTCAAACAATGAGGCCTGTCGCCCCCAAGTCGACTTTTGAGGGGGGATTGCACGATTTGTGCCTGTCCGCATGCCCACCCGCCTTCAACAAATATTGTGGGAGGCAGGACTTTGCCGGTTTTTGCTGGGAGACTGGACAAAAGGAAGTACTGCAGGGCACCTCAACCTCTGTGCCCGGGGGGGGGGGTACGTGCCATTGGAACATCAAGCGAACACCTCCAATCTGAGGGCCGCGCAGATGTGTATGTGGGCGTGCTTGATTTGAGGGTACAGGGGAAAAACCCAACCATTCTTGGGGTTGTGGTTCTTCTCACACTACCACTTCGGAAACAATTACCTGTTTGAAGTATTTCAATGTTTGTTTGTGGGTGATGCTTGAAGTGGCCACAGAAAGAACCCAGCGTCAGCCGCACCGGTTCGGCGGCCGAGTGGATCTGAAACAGAGAGAGCACTCTCATCACTCTCAAAAAACCAGGGGGCTACCCCGTTTGACTATGGTTGCCAAAATAGGAGTCCAAACAAAGTAGATTCCTTTGAAAGGCGTTGAGGCTCCATCTCCTACCTACAGCAGGGCCCAAACCTTATTTATTGGCCAAATTTGTAAGGGGCCGTATATGTGGCAGAATGTGGCGTGCAGCAAATGAGAAGCATCGTGGTCAAACTCGATGAGTCTGCCCCCCAAACGGAACGGAGCAGGCGGGCAGCAACCGCTGGACCTCAGCTTCGGACCCCATCACGCTGATCGGGCACAGGCGCTTCGGAAGGGATCTGAGCGCAGGACACCCAAATCACCAGCTGCCCTCCCATGGGGCGGGGGGTCCAAGAGGCACCTCTGGTGAGTGCCATGTTCGTGGGTGGGAGGGTAGGAGGAAGCGGATTCTGTGGGCCGACCGTCTGGCAGCGCAATTAATCCATTGCCGTTTTTATGTTGTTTTTTTCGTCAAGGTCGCAGCCTGATAGGTCCGTGTCTCGTGGATGCAGAAGGTGATGACCGTTCTCGAGGTTACTTCGCACTTTGGCATATCCAAGCAGCATATATACCCAGTTGCTCTTGTTTGTTCACAAATCGTGGCTGTCTTTCGGGCAGCACGGATGAATCAAAAGCAAAAGTACAGCGTAGGCTGACTTCAGCCTTCCTTACACAGGCGTCTTCCGAAATCACTTCAGGATGGCCACCATGTATCCTTGCAACATCCTTGATCTTGCCTTTTTCCCGGTTTTGCACATTGTGCACCTGAACACCTCCCCAAGAATGGCCACGTTCTCCTAAAAGGTGAAGGAGCAACGGCTTATCAATCTTAGGTCACATCAGCCGGTCACCTTGGCCCAAAGCCCACATGGGCAAATGAATTTCAGCATCAATCCTTGCACAAGTCGCGAGACTCCTTTGGGCCCGTAAACTAAGCCCACCCCCGAGGGGGTACCCTTCCTAAACAAACCCTTGCCTCTGCCTTGCAGCATTAGCCGCGGCTAGCTTTTTTGTGCAGGCTAGCGAACGTGGCAGTGACGGCTCCTTGGCCATCATTTGTGCCTCCGAGTCTGTTTCTGGGCTGTTTCCCCTGGTTCAGCGTTGAGTTGGTACTCTTTGCACAGGTCTCCCAAAGTGGGTTGGGCTTTTTGCGGAATGTTCTGCGGGAATTAAATTTTTCGCTCTGGCAACGCCATGCAACCACCTACAGCCTGACGAAAGACTCACGGCCTGTGGCTCGCGTCGATGGTGGCTGGGCCACGGCGGAAGCTGGTTTCTGGGTGGCACCGCGTGACTGCCTGCATCATACATCCAGGACTTCCATTATTACGAGTTGAGTCAAAGACGAGCGCCCTGTGGTGCCAAGGTTGATGTGTTCCTTCCGCGCGACCAGTGCCTTGCCTGAGTTTTGGGTTCCGTCTTAACGTGCCCAGGGGTCGGACCAAGTTGCTTTTCCAGAATAAGTCAGCATTTGCGGGGCCAGTGAGTCGGTTGCTTTGGGCAGGAAGCAAAACAAACGGCCAGGTTTCGTTGATTCAGGTTCCTTGCGAAGGGACCTGAAGGATTCGGGGATGGGAACCCATTTGTCACGACGTGAGGGATGCTTTCTGGGGCCCATGCTGTTAGGCCGCAAGAGCCAGTGCGCCTGGGCATCCAGGCAGGTTTTCTTTGTCTGGCGCGCTCGCACAAGGGCGCGGGGAGAGGGCAAGATGCCTGGGGCCAGAGCCTTCCATTTCACGTCCTGCTCGGATATTCAGATGCTCCAAATGGCACTGGTTGGAGCACACTCCAGAATAGTTCGCGGACACTCATCCTCATGTCCACCAAGAGGTCCCCAAATCAAGGCACTCGTGTGTCGACCGACCTGCGGCACTAGCCCAGGCATGGTGAAGCAAATGATAGGGAACCCTGCGAAGTGAAGCCCCAATGACCCTCTGAGTGCGCCATGGTTTGAACCGCAGGGCGCCTGGGCTGGAGGCTGCCTCTCCACAGCGGCGCCTTGGAGTGACGGAGAGTCAAAATAAAAAAAGCACATGTTGTGCCAGGGTCACTGGTGAAACCAAACCCCCTGGCAGTTTTTGGACAACCTTGTAGCGACGGGTGTGATAAATTGCGGCAACTCTGCACGAGATCGTTGGTCAACGTCGGATGCAGATCCTATCCGAGGGCTCCGTGCGGGAGTTGGCGCAAGTGCAGGAAGAGTCCTGCGACGCAGCTCGGCGAGTCGGACCCAGGGTGTTGAGGCCGGAAAAATAGCGGCCCATCTCAATACCCAAAGAAATGCCGGGTTTTCCTTTGGTTTCCTTTGAAGTCAGGCAGCAAGAAGAGTGCCTGTTGAATCAAAGGCGCCGGTTTTTGGCCTTGAAGCTTGTAAATGACCTGGCGTAAAGCGGGTACACAAGGCAAGGCCAGTAAGCCCGCAATATTGGAGGGGGCCCTAACAGACCTCAAGTTGACTTGACATTTTGACTGAAGTTGCATCCTTTTTTGCCAATCGATTGGTGATCCTGAAGTACGCTTGCGCTTTTGTATGTCACTCTCACTTTGGAATGCGCCATCGTAGGTCCAGAACTCCTTGTTTTGTTCGCATACTGTTTAGGGTGACTAGGCAATCTCACGCAGCAAGATATCATTTTAGCGGCGCACACGTGTTTGCATGTGAGTCCAAAATCATACGTGCAGTTGCACCGGGTTTGGGGGAGGGTTGACGAGGGGGAAGCGTCCGGGAAATATCCAGCACTTGGGGCACTCACGAAGTTGGTTTCGCCCAGGCGGAATGCACTGTTTCGCAGGGAAAAAAAGGGCAGGCCGTGCAGTGCAGAAACTGACCCGCTGGTGCTTGCTGTTTTTAGGGTCAATCCACTCAGAAAGATAGAGAAAGAGAGAGAGATAGAGAGAGAGAGCAAGAGAGAGGGAGTGAGACAGAGAGCGCGCGAGTAGCTGTGGGAAACTGCATTTTGGAGGCCATGGTCAGGAAATGCTGGCTGGTGAACAATGGATGTAACTGGGCGGAGCTCCTGAAAACAGCAATCCAGGGACCGGGGACTTCTGGGTGCGAGTTGCGGTGCTTGCAGATCCTGAGGCAAAGACCGCGCAGGACTTTGTGCTGGAGCGCTCAACTGGACAAATTGTGATCGCTTCTGGCTTGTCCATGGCAAAGCTGCTTGGCTGGGAGGGTGAGGCGCTCCGCTAGCGGACTGGCAAAGGGCCCCAAGCAGGCAAGGCAGCCCGGGCAGGCGAGCCAGGCAGCACTTGTGAGCCGGATTCCCTGGCAGGTTCGGGTTCCCAGCATTCGTCAGCCTGTCAACTGCAGAGGGGTGAAACATGGTTGGGGATCAGAAGGCGTCAGAAGTGCTGTTTCTTCACAACCGAGCCAGTAAAAGCCCGCAGGAGAGGTGAGCCAATGAGAACAGTAGCCCGCCAGCACAGCACTGCCTGCATTGCGTTGCATACGCAGAGATTGTTGCGCACCTGCTGCGTAGGGGCATGTGTTGTTGCTTAACGCTGCTCTGCTGGAGTTGGGCTGCTTTTGCGAGATGCGCTCTGTTCGGAGCGGGTCTGGTCAGGGCAGGTGCGCAGATGGGGTGGATGAAGGATGTGCGCAACGCTTTGTTTTGTGGTTTGCGCACGTCTGCGAAGCCAGGCAAGGAATGCACTTTTGCAGCTCTTTCGCAGCTATGCCTCGAACATTCCTCAGGAATTTCTGCGAAAACACAAGCCTAGCACGGAATCGCAGCGCGCAGCAAAGCGCCACAGCGCTCTTTCACAGCCCTGCTGGCTCTTTGCTGCTTTCCTTGTTGGGCAACATTTGTTTAAGCAGCCAGACCCTGGCCCCCTTTACGGGGACCATGAACACATGGGAGAACAATAGGAGGGCTCAAGCAGGTTTACACAAGCAATGGCCCAACCCTGTCTGCTTTTACCGCCCCGCGGCTTGCGCCGTGGCCTGCGTATCCTCTACTTTCACCACTTGCGCAGCCCACCTGAGTTTCAAAAGTCCTCGAGCAAATTACAAGAAAGGTGCCGTAAGACCTCGGAAAAGCTGTTTGGGTCATTGTGGCTTGCCCAAAAGCAGATACTTTCTTTCTTGTCTTCATTTTACCCTTGTTCGACTGACAGGGCCGCACTTAACGAGACGCAATGTCCAATCTCAGGTTGAGGAATTATTGAATTCTAGCAGTGCTTCTGGTGGATTCGCAGCTGTGATGAACTTGGGTTTGTTGGGGTCGGGCGAGGTCGTGCCTGACGGCGCACACGTGCATGCCCGGCCCGCACACAGGCGCGCTCGCATGGTTGAGGGCAAGGAATCCACACACCTTCTGGGCGGGAAAGGCGTCTCATGCGGATGGCTGGAGAATGTTGTGCACGCTCGCTTTACTCCTGAAGCACATGACCGTGGAAGGCAGTTTCTTTTTCATACCCCTGTCCCCCAAAACTAGTTTGGGCTTGAAGCAAACACCTCGAGGACCCTGAGTAACGCCAATCTGAATAAGCATTACTTTTGAGTTCTTGCATGGCTTTGGTTTGATGAGCTGATGCCACCAGGCTTGAACTGCTCTCGACCCTCGCCAGTCGCAGTTTTCAAGTTTTGACAGACTGTCCCAGAATCAACTCCAGATGGGAGACGAGCCTAGAAGCCAGTGTTGGACAAGGGTTATGCTGTGCTTGATAAATGGGAGTGAGGAGTTCCAGTTGCATGCGAGTGTGCCACTTCGTCGGCTTCTTTTGCCAGACCCCACTGTATGTGCTCGGCCCTGCGGCAGCCAGCGCTCGAACCAGACGTGGGCGACACGGCGAAATTTGGGTGGGTGTGGCACCCCTGGCACCCTTGACAATGGGTTGGCTCAGTTGGCGTTCGGATTCAGCCGGCGAATTCAGCAAGCTTTCGAAGCAGGGTTTGGGTTTCAGGCCATCTCAGGCACGAGCACAGCCTGCTGGCACGATTTGAAAGGCGTTCACCGCAAAGTTCAGCAGTTCACCCCCCTTTAAACATTGCAGCGTTTGCGTGGGGCGTGCGACCCTGACCACTGCCGGATCAAAGTTTGTGGTCTTGGGTCGGTGCAACTGCGCGCAAATCCCTACTGGGATCCTTCAAGTGAGACAGCGCCAGAGTGGTCATTGGCACATATTGTATCTTTTGTGTATTTTCATAATGTCTTACAAATGCGAGTTTAAAACCAGATGGAAATAGCCTGCGCCCGGCACAAACAAATGCAACCTGAAAGCTAGCCAAAGTGTCCTGTCAGCGCGTTATGCTACAGAAGCTGCGAGGGCACAAGTTTCGCCCTTTTGAGGCATTGAGGGCGACATGCCGGCCAGGTTGGAACTGCTTACATATGTTGCAATGCAGATCTATGTTGCATGTGGTCGAACGAGGATGGGCATCTGGACCCAAAACGCCGAGATGCTTCTGCAGTGAAGGGCAGATTCCAGACCCCTCCTTTGGCGTCGGATTCCCCCCGTCCACTCTGAGGCCTGGGAGGCGGATGGCAGTCTGCGGCTGCGTGAGCGGCCGGATCTATGCCTCACCCGAGGCGTGGGGGTTCGGGGGGGGGACCGAGAAGCAGTTGGAAATGGAGGGCGAGGCATCCAGAAACAGAACCATCAGGCATCCACAAGCACTTGCTCGGCATCTTTCGACTTGCATTTGGTCCGGCTGTGACTTGTGCTGAGAAACTTGCCCATGAAATGTGGCACCAGTCAGTGGGAAGGCCTCCACGGAGCGTCACAGAGGTGGCTAATTTCCGCATTGTGGGTCATTCTGCACACCATCAATCATGTTCCTTTGTAATTCTAATGTCTTCCCTTAAGCACCTCATCCGATTACGTGGTCAGCAAACATGTTACCACAAGCGGACAATCCTAAATCCCAACATTGAGGGAGCATGATTCAGCAGCTTTCTTTTCTGTGGGTCTCCTTTGCCTCAGACCTTTCCTTCCCTTATGTTTTCCCTGAATATGAAAAGACATTGTGCACTTGCGTTTGCCGTGCCTGATCAACTTCCTTGAGCGCAGCCAGAGAGTTACAATTCCGACATTGCCCGCAACCCAGGATGCCGAGCTCACGCTTCATGTTTGGGGGCAACCACCCGTTCTGTGAGCCAAAGTTGGCCATCCCTGTGACTGCCTTGAAGCGGAGCCCTTGGTATGACAGACGTATGGGCAAAAGCAAGCCTCCCGTCGCTTTCGAAACACGCCCACTTTCGCTCCAATGTGCTGGACAAAACGTTGTGGTCCTACTTGGGCTACCACACCTCCTGGACTCCCAATGAAAGGGGGATTCATCCCAAGGCGTGCTTGGGATTCTCCCATGTATTCCTGTCGGTCCTTTTCGTGGTTTCGTATTTAGTATTGGTTCAGTTCTGCCCAATACTGGTCGGTCCTGGTTGACGGTAATTGCGGCCTTTGTGGGGTGCGGCCTTTCAAGCTGTGAAGGGACAGGGGCATGTTGGAAAAGGTTGCAGAATGGCGCCGCGGAAATGGGAAAATGCCCAAGGTAAACATTAACGCCTTCCCAGGATTGCTCACTAAGTAAGGTTTTGGGAGGGGCCGTACGGCAAACTGCCAGTCTGAGCCGCAGGCAAAGAGAGCATGCTGCCGGGCTGCAAGCAGGGGCGCAGGGGCTTTGGAAGGTCGGCTGAAATGCGGAATTCAACAAATCAAACAAAACCCGAGCAGGCCTTCAAGCGACTAAAACCTTGAAGCGCTGTACGAAGCCAAGACTCAAGCTACAGCTCCAGGACATTTTGGGGCAAATGTCTGGCTGTTTGGGTATATAGGCCTGAAAGAAAAGCTTGGGTCGGCTTGCCGACCATGGAACGAGGGAGATGCTTTTCGTTTGTACTTGAAAAAAGAAGGTATGGGCGACTTTCATACGTGGCCCGCGCAGCCTCGCGCACGCGCGTGCAGGGGGCCGCTTAGGCAAGCAACGTCTTGCGATGGCTTTGCCCGCTGACGTGTTTCTTTTTCGATCCGTGCGCTGAGAGACAACCGGCGCACCAGCCTTGCGAACCTCCTTGTCCAGAGCCAATCAGTCCTGCAGCACAGTGTTTAGACGTTTCCCATTTTCAAAAGGTAAGCCCCGTCACAGACCCACTTTGTTGACCACGGTTTGCCTTTCAAAGTGTGAGAGGGGCCTGGTGCAGCCTGACCGGCCCGCCACAAAGGGATCGAACATTGACTGGGAGCGGAGCAGAATTTAGATAGACGACTCCCGCATACGGGCATGGAGCCTGACCAAGGTGCCCCCAAAGGGAGATGCCTCTTATGCTTATTCGTCTGCAGGCGAAAAGGGGAACGTAGGAGTTGAGCTACGTGTCGCTTCCCACACCGAGCCAACAGCCACCCAGGCCGTCTCTGCACCTGGCGAACTGCGCTGAGCCGGTGCTGCCAACGCAGCGCCTCGGATCGGGTCGAGGATTGTTTACGGTCGGCTTTTGCGAGGCGGCCATTCGGCCTTGTCGCTTTTTGGGGCGTTTGGTGCCTTTTTTGAGAGCGCTTTTTAGGGAGATGAAAGCTGTCCGGGGTGTTTGTGTCTGGGGTGTCTGGGGTAGGGAGATGAAAGCCGGAAGCAGTGATTTTGTTGGACCCGCTTAATTACTCCCAAGTATTTGTTTGATATACCAAGGGTATATTCTCAGTTCTGCCCTGGCAGTCATCCGCTGTGGCAACAGCACGGAATACAGTTGCACGCTTTTTGGTGTAGGCTATGTGCAGAACTATTGTCAGGTAGGTTCCCGCCAAGGGTGCATGTCTGGTTGTTGACCTGGGAGGAAAGCCGGAAAAATCAGGGGCGCGGGGACCTTGCTTTTTGACCTCGCACTAAGTAGCTTCCTGGGCCCACGAGCCAAAATGTAAAATGGAGGTCACATCACTCAGGGTTTTCCGTGCGAGGCGCTTTGTGGAGACGGGGGACCTGCCGCTCTATGCGGGCGTGTGCCTGCGCCGGCCCGGCGCGATTGTGGTGAAATAAGACGTGTGTATGTGTGTGTGTGTGTGTGTGTGGTGTGCGTGTGTGTGCGCGCGTGCGCGTGCGCGTGTGCGTGCGCGTGAGCGTGGGTGTGTGCGTGTGCGTGTGCGTGTGCGTGTGCATGTGCATGTGCGTGTTTGTGTGGCTGCGAGTCTCTGTGTCTTTGTGTTTGTGTGTCTGTGTCGAATTTGGAACGAACCTGGGGGTGAGTTTCTCAATGTCGACCCCTGGTTGGCAAAACAAACACAACAGGGGAGCAGAACTCCTTTCTTCCAGGGGCCCCATGAACAATGACTGGGGGGAGGGTGTGTGCCAGGGCTCCACCAGTACTTGTCACACTCCCAAAAAACAAACATGGAAGGTTCTCAGGTTTCGTGTGTAGTTTTGGGAGGGTATTGCCCTCTTCATGGTGGATTTCGGCTTAATCCAAACCAGTGGTTGGATGTTGTGAAACACGGACATCACAAAGGGGTCGCACACTACGTTGAATTGTGATTGTGGCAGGGGTGACTGGTGGGTGGTGTCATGCAGGATGTAAGGTTGAGGGATGATGGGCTGATTCCTCGTTTTGGTGCGACTGCGCACATCCCAATCCAGCGCTCATTTCGAACATTTCAGAGTTTGGCATGCTTTGATAAATTCGGTGAAGGGCCAGGGCAGCAGCAGGAGCAGAATCCAACACGGCTCAAAAGAATTAGTTTGGGGCAAAGCACCGGAGGTAGCTGTGTACAGTAATTTGTTGGGAATGGCAGGCTGCTTTTCCGGAGGTAGCTGTGTACAGTAATTTGTTGGGAATGGCAGGCTGCTTTTTGCCTCGCAGATGTTTGGCCTTCCCAAATTGAAATAGTTGTGTTGCTGGGAAGAAGGGCCAGCTTTCGCGTCTATCGTCGGGGGCTGCATCAATAGTAAGCATGCTCGCATTTTTCTATCTTTGGTTTTCTGTCCGCAGGTCACGCAACTGCGGGTTGTTCACGGGCATGCCATTTTTGGACCCTTTGTGTCCAAGGCGGTGTCAGGGGGTGTGTTTGAGGGGGCGATCTTTCTTGGAAGGTCAAGGCTGCAAAAATGCCGCTCCCTTCGCGGCCAGGCCTTGCGCCCAGGTCTGGGTCCGCAGGAGCCGCCGTTTCTCCATGTCCGGAGCGATCGGGGTGTCTTCACCCTTGCCAAGCGCAAAGGGCTTTTTCTCCCAAAAGGTTCCCGCAAGGAAAAAGGATATTGTAACATGCTCAAAGTGGACGGGCTCGTGTGTTCCACATTGAGCAGGGGAGCAAAAGCCACCCGTGTTTCCCAGTGGAGGCCTCTAACGATACCAAACATCATCCAAAAGGTGGTGGTCGAAAGCGAGGCCGCGCTGGGACCAGTATTTCTTGGTGGCTTCGTGGGGGGTGTCCCTCTTTGTAAGGGATGCCTTCTTTGTGTCCTGCGGTTCCAAGCTTGGCTCGGGCCACTGCAAGCTAACATGAGCAAGCCTGAGCAAGACACCGGCATAGCTCCATGCCTTCGTTTGCGAACAAGCTAAGTGCATGGCGCTTTTTCCAATCGCCCGCACCTCACAACACCTAAAAGCGAGATGCTGTGTTTGCTGGCAGGTCACACATGATTTTGAGCACCATACAGCCAGATGCAAGCATACCCTGCAGTACAAGCGCGCGCGCGCACACACACACACACACACACACACACTACAACCTGGCAGCGGCAGTTTGACCTGGGGAGATGCACCGCCTCTCCAGCAGCCCACGCCTTGCGGTTGCCAGCTTCAACCCACACCGCAAGTACGTCTTCTCGCGGCTTTTCGAGCAAAGTGTTTCACAGAGCAGAGAAGGGCAACCATGGCAACCCATTTCCCGGGCTCTTTGGGCCGAATTAGCGTGGCACCTTGCGCCATGTCGCAGCAGGGCGCCCACCCGCCCTGGAAAGATGAACCTGCCGCGGTGCCGCCGCCAGCAGAGAAGCCGCCGAGACCAGGCTTCACACAGCACAAGGCGCGGACGCTCGCACGGATCCACCGTTGGCCAGGGTCAAATAGCCTTGGGCCTGGTAGAGATGGCCATCATCTTTATGGGCAAACTCGAGAACTGCAAGGGTTCTTTAAGGCCATGCGAGTTTTGACTTTGGCGCGTTTGGTGAACGGTCACTGCTGGCCGGAAGCGCCCGGCAAATCGTTCTCCTCTAGCGAGGCCATCATGTTTGGTTGTTGAGGTTGGCTACTTCAGAGCAGTTTCCGCTTCCCTTGGCCATTGGCCCAAGAGACATCGCCTTTGGGGCCGATTCAAAGCTACTTGCCAAGAGCACCAACATATACTGGGCTCTCCCTCAAAACCATTTTATTTTTTGCAGAGTAAAAATGAAACAGCAGCCGCAGCAGCAGCACGCAGCAGCAGCAGCAGCAGCAGCAGCAGCAGCAACAACCACAACCACAACCACAACCACAACCGACAACCGCAACCGCAACCGCAACCACAACCACAACCGCAACCACAACCACAGCCACAGCCAACCAACCACAACCACAACCACAACCACAACCACAACCACAAACCACAACCACAACCACAAACAACCAACCACAACCACAACCACAACCACAACCACAACCACAACCACAACCACAACCACAACCACAACCACAACCACAACCACAACCACAACCACAACCACAGCCACAGCGACAGCGACAGCGACAGCCACAGCCACAGCCACAGCCACAGCCACAGCCACAGCCACAGCCACAACCACAACCACAACCACAACCACAACCACAACCACAACCGACCGACCACAACCACAACCGACCGACCACAAACAACCAACCACAACCCACCAACCAACTCGCCCACCCAACCACAACCACAACCACAACCACATACCACAACCACAACCACAACCACATACCACAACCACAACCATGACCACGACCACGACCACGACCACGACCACAACCACAACCACAACCACAACCACAACCAACCGACCACAAACAACCGACCACAAACAACTAACCACAACCCACCAACCAACTCACCCACCCAACCACAACCACAACCACATACCACAACCACAACCACAACCACGACCACGACCACGACCACAACCACAACCACAACCACAAGCACAACCACAACCACAACCGACCACAAACAACCAACCACAACCCACCAACCAACTCGCCCACCCAACCACAACCACAACCACAACCACATACCACAACCACAACCACAACCACATACCACAACCACAACCATGACCACGACCACGACCACGACCACGACCACAACCACAACCACAACCACAACCACAACCAACCGACCACAAACAACTAACCACAACCCACCAACCAACTCACCCACCCAACCACAACCACAACCACATACCACAACCACAACCACAACCACGACCACGACCACGACCACAACCACAACCACAACCACAAGCACAACCACAACCACAACCGACCACAAACAACCAACCACAACCCACCAACCGACTCACCAACCCAACCACCCAATCCAACCCGTAAAGGTTCGTCCCCATCATCGAGACTCGAGAGTATCGAGTGCGGAGCCTCAGGTCTCGGGCACCATCTTCGAGGTGCCCAGCGGCTTCGAGCTGCTGCGGGCCCTGGGCAAAGGCACCTACGGCGCCGTGGCGGGCTTCCGGGACGAGCACGGGGAGGACGTGCCGCTGGGTCGGTCCACCAGAAGTGTTTGGCCGGAAAGTGGGGGGAGGAGTTTAGGTTCGAAGCCCTGGTTTGAAGGTGCTGTCAGGGGATTTCAGGAGGTTTGTTGCCCGGATTGGTGCGTTGACAGATATTTGCCCCAACAGTTCTCATGCGATATGTTTTTGGACACATCCTTCTTGGAAGTTGGGTCGTTTCCCGAGGGTAATGCACGAACAGTTTGAGGTTTGGGGGTGCTGTAGTGGGTGATTTGGGGGAGGGTGCTCATTTGTGGGCCCTCCAGATCAGCGAGGTCAGGCAGCGAATTCTGACCGCTGGGTATGGGTGGCGCCTTGGCATCAGGAGGTTGCGATCAAGAAGATCCCGAACCCGTGCCGCAACACCATAGAGGCTTCGCATCAGCCACTGCCTTGATCCGGACAGAAGGGGGGTTTCCTGATCAGACTCCCGCTTGACTGATGCTTTTTCTTTGGATCGACGTTTGCGACCGTTGATTTGGTTGGCTTCATTCGCTGCTGTTGCAGCAGGATTCTCGGGATGCACGCTGCAAGTTGCCTTCGAGAGGCGAAGCGGTGCCTTCGAGAAATCAAGCTGCTGAATGTGCTGGAGCATGAGTGCATCATCAAGCTTCTCAAGGCCAATGGGGTGTTTGGCTGGCTCGCAATCCTTTGGCAAGTTGGACGTGCCCCGGAAAAGCACAAACACGCGGCATTGCTGAAATTGAACGGACCATGTGCTTGGCCGTTTGGTTTTCCAGTGTCCTATTTCCAGCCAAGGTTTCAGTTCCAGACCAACAACCACATCCTCTATGTCCATGTTCTTTTGTCCCCGGCCATTTCCAGCTAGTCTATTCTTAGGCTAGGCCCACTCGGGCCCCGAGTCTCAGAAAGCCGAATTGATGAGCCAAATCAAAGCGCCTTGTGTCCCGCCTTTAGCGTATCTTTGTTTCTGGAGACCCCTAGAATGGGTGGTTTTCCTTTTGATTTCCCTCTGAAAAACACAAAAGGTGCTCTTACCAAAAAGTCACCCACTTGAACCTCTCAACACCCTTTGAGGTGCTAGAACCGCCGTCCACGCTCTTCAACGAGGCCCACTCGGGGACCCGGGGACTCAGGCAACATTCTTGAAGGAAAAAGCGCTGTCAAACTATGGGGACCTTGAAAATGGATGGATTAAACCAATGGGAAAATGGCACCCTCAAAAAGAACAGGCACCCGCACGGATACAGAAACCTGTGGGAATGATTGGGAGCTCATGGATTGGGGGTTCAATCCAGCGGTTCCGGGCCGGGATTCGTTTCGATTTTGTTCAGTGTGGAGGATTTTGCAGATGTTACGGATGTAGCCAGGTTTGCAACCATAGGTAGCTGGACAATGGGCATGGGAGTAGAACAGGGGGCGATGGAGGGCCTTTGAACCAGTACGCCCCGCGTAATTTGACGTCGTCTGGGCGAAATGGCTACTGGCTTGTATCATGGAGGTACGATTAAGAGTATTCTTTAATAAATTGATATATTTAATTCTGGCCAGGTGGCTGTTTACAAGGGAACGAAAAACCATTGAATGGTTCAAGGCAAGTAAACCATATGCAAGCCAAAGCAACGGAACCGCATCAATCAGACAGTGCAAGTTCTGATATGTCCCAGGGTTGGTCAAAGAAGCATGACCTGCCAGGGGGGCGGGGTGGGTCGGGCACATCGTGCTTTTAAGATATTGCTTTTTGGGTAACTTAAAGAGGCACACCAAGGAGAAGCCAAAGGGAAACCACCCACTGGGAGGTTCACCGATTCACCCACCTCAAGGGCAGGGTTTGCCCGGCTGGAGCGAGGTGTACCTTGTCACGGAGCTCTGTGACGCAGACCTGCACACGGTGGTTTGCTCGGACCAGCCTCTGAGCGAGGAGAGGTTTGCCCCTTTTTAGACGGCCGTTTTGTCCCACAGTTGGGTGAGGGTACTTGGCACAGTTTCTCCATGTTGGTTTAGTCACCCCCCTTACAAGAAGTAGTGACATAAAGATAATGTAATTAGTCATGCCCTTTGCTTATTTACATAAAAGGAATTGTGCCATCTACTTCCCCAGTGTCCAAGTACCTTCCAAGAAAGTACTTTGGACCATTTTAGCTCTCAAACACCGTCCTCAAAGGGCACTTGGACCCAAACATGTACTGGACTTTGGACTTGCCCCCGGCCATTCCAGGTGCACAGACCACTTTGGAAGACAACCCTGACATGGAGCCTGACGAGGGGGGGTCCTGGATGAGCGGGAGGGTACGTTTTGGGAAAAATGCTCTCTTCCTGAACGTGGTTCCGGTTTCCTCTTGGAGGTGTATGCCAAACTTGTCCCAAAGGATTCGGTATTTCAGACTGCCCTGGCAAGGACCATGTGCAGTTCTTCATTTATCACATCCTCAGGGCGCTGTTGCCACTTGGCCCATCTT